AATGACCTCATTTAAACGTTTATCGTGTTTTAAATAAAACTATCTTTTCGGATTTTGTCGCGGATTTATTTGGATTTTTGTTTCCCGACGTTTCGAATGCTTTACAGCATCCATGGTCACGGGAGAGACCATGGATGCTGTAAAGCATTCGAAACGTCGGGAAACAAAAATCCAAATAAATCCGCGACAAAATCCGAAAAGATAGTTTTATTTAAAATGTCAAATATTCGCGTAAATCTAAGAAAGTTTATCGTGTTCTTCCTTAGTACGTCCCCAAATTAAAATGTCGTCAATGAAAACCTCAACACCTTCCATTTTAAATATCTTACACATTTCATAATGAAATATTTCCGGAGCACAACTAATCCCAAATGGCATGCGCAAAAACCTATATCGGCCATAGGGAGTTGAAAATGTACATAATTTTGAACTATATTCATCTAGACGTAGCATCCAAAATCCATTCTTTGCGTCACATTTTGAAAAATATTTTGCTCCCGATAAGTTACTGAGTACTTCATCTAAAGTAGGCATTTGAAAGTGGCTCCGTTTAATAGCTTTATTTAGATTACGCGGATCTAAACAAACACGAAGTTTTTTTATTCGATTTCTCAACAACAACAATGTTCGAAACCCAGTCTGTCGGTTCATCCTCTTTTTTAATTATATTTAATTTTACCATATTATCTAATTCCTCCTTTAAACGGGGTTTTAATTTTATTGGTATTTTTCTCGCAGCACTAACAACAGGCATTATCGTTTTATCTATTACAATCCTACAAACAGACGGCAAGCATCCAACGCCCTCAAAAATGGATAAATTAGATATTTCCTTGCTTAAAGACACCTGATTTAACCTAGCTATAAGCCTTAAATTCACACACGCTCTTAAACCTAATAAATTATTACAATCATTGCTTAAGACATAAATTTTTTCAGACCATTTAGTATTATTAAATATTAAAACACTATTAAAATATCCAATTACAGACAACTTATTTTTACTAATTTCTCTTAAAACGGTATTACATTTAACTAAATTTAATTTATCAAATCCGGCATTTTCAAAAGATTTAAGCGACATTACCGAAGCCTCCGCTCCAGAGTCCAGTTTAAATTTAATATAAACTCCATTTACACTAATAGTTTCACACCATGAACTACACGACTCCCCTGCCGCCTCAATCGAAACATTGTACATAAGTAACTCACCGTTATCGCCGTATGTCTGTTCATCATTCTTACTCTTTATCGAGTCCGAACTCACCCCCGCCTCTTCGACGACTTCGCGCGTAAATTTTACTTTACAACACTTCGCAAAGTGACCTACTCTCTTGCACCGAAAACACTTAATTGAATACGCCGGACAATGCATACTATTGCCATGCCTAAAGCTACACTTTTCACAAACACTCGCACTGTAGCGTTGATAGGTGCCGGCGGGCAGGCTGCGCCGCTCGCGCCAACCGCCACCGGCCGCGCCGACGTCACCCCGCGCCACGTGGCGCCGCCGCACCTGCTCGAGCGCCGCGGGCGGGTCGGCACGCGCGCTGCACGCCGCCGCCTGCTCGCTCGCTCGCTCCGCCGCGCGACACCACGCACTTGCCTCTTCTAATGTTATCGACGATCTCGCTAATAATTTTTCACGCATTTGTATGTCTTTTAAGCCACGTATCAATTGAGTTAATATGAGGCTATTCTTTAAAGTCCCGAACTCACAATTGTTACTTTGCTTTTTTAGTGATCCGACAAACTTATCAATCGTCTGCTCGTTTTGGTAGGTTTCAAAGAAAGTATGACGTTCAAAATTAATATTTTTCTTGGGATCACAATATTCACTGTATTTTTTACACAAGATTTTGTAGTCATTTTCATCGCTATCCGATATTTCTAATTCTTCCAAAATTTCTCGTCCATATTTTCCTATACAATGCATAAATAATCCACATTTTTCTTTATCATTAGTAAATTCTTTGCCTGTAGCTACTAAAAAATAATTAAACGCCGTTTTCCATTCTCTCCAGTTGGCAGCCATATTGCCATCTTGTTGCATCGGTGGAGGTTGTTGAATAGCCGCACAGATGCTGCTGTCACCCTTGCTATCATATTTTGCCATGATATAACAATTTATTTACTTTTTAAATTCACTAAATCCTTATGCATATATTTTCTATAATATCACACCTGACACCATGTAGTGGTTAATGAGGTCTAAATGAAACGACTTCTGGATGACGACTGATTTATTATAATTCCCTTCTTCGAGAGTTACGAATACCGACATGACAATATGTTTATTTTAATATAATATAGTTATACCCACAACATTTTCCTTTCATTTTAAAATGGAATATTTTTAAATTATATACCATTGTATGTATGTACTTAATTCTTAATAATAATCAATTCAATTAGGTTGAAATAATTTTATTTGCCTATTTATTTACAACATAATTTTTCATTATTTTTTTCTATTAGGCTAAAAAATATCGCATCCTTTAATTGTCTGCTTAACACATTTCGTGGATGTTAGCCCTAAATATGAATATTTGAAAGCAAAACTCAAACCCGAAAGTAAACGTTAGAAGGTTTCAGAATTCATAATTTGTTGGAAATGTAAGCGGCGTGCCCAACGAGTGTTATGAAATCCCATTTACTATTCGGGTGTAATTTTGAGAACAATGGTTACCTGTTGCTTTTAGTTAGTGTGTATGGTAATTTTATTTTGTATGTAGTTGATGTACTGACCAATAGGTCTAAAAGGTATCTCATAAGGCATTTATACCCCTGTTTATATTATAAACTAACGACTGTCCCTCACTTCGCTCGGATTCGTTTTACCAGATAGTATGGAAGGATACACTATACATATATTTTATATATACGTTGCTGTTTTTTTTGGTTTTACCGTTTTTTATACTTAAACCGCCCCTGATTCCCCTTACAAAACCAAAAAATATATTTAAATCGGTCCAACCGTTTTTGAGTTTTAGCGAGACTAACGAACAGCAATTGATTTTTATATACGTAGATGTGTATAATTTTGTTTATAATTCTATTATTAAACGATTAAACGAATTTAGATGAAACTCTACTGCTTCTACTGAAACTCTTATTATACCTCGAATGATTTGGCATCGCAAAAATTTGGATGGAATTTTGATAATTATTTGCAGTATCCTAATATCCACCATGATCCTATGGTGTAGTAAGGTAAAAATATCCTATGGTGCGCTCGAACTACAGATTTTTTATATACAAAAATCACATCGATACGTTCGCTTCGTTTCTGCTATAAAACACGAAAAACTTACAAATACACGAACACATTTTCGCATTTGTATTATTACTAAGAATTATAAAATCAAGATGAAGGCTTAATACTGACCGTGGTAAGCTAAACCTTTAATTTATGACGTAGGTACGCCGTAATAAATCGACACGTGTAGATTCGACACAATCGACATGGTGGTTTATTGTTCGAAGTGAACACACACGGTATTAAAATCTTAAATTTAAGAAATATTTTTCTTTAACATTACTGACGGTTATAGCCATACTATTGCTGCTTATAAAACCAATTTCATGATATTTACTACTATTTTTCACCCTTTCACATTACTTCCAGCGGACTTACTACCCTACTTACCCTAGCTCCGCTCGGGTTCGTCCCTACTTATGTTTTAACGCTTAGTATAGATTTGTCGGAGATGAGATATTTTCCCGCAGTAAAAAGTATCCTGTATGTTGACCCGAATAACCAGCTATCATCATACTAAATTTCATCAAAATCCCTCCAGTGGTTTTTCCGTGATGCAGTCCCAGACAGACAGACAGACAAACAGACAAAACTTCTAAAAACTATAGATTCGGCCTCTGTATCGATAATAATGTCTATTTCAATAAGATTTTCCAAAAAGAATTTAAAGTTTTTTTTAAATTTCAAACTGTATGTAAATGAAACGATGTATTTAGAGAGTATCTTATATATTGTATAATGTAGAGAATGTTACAGTGCTTTCTAAAAGCACAATTTTGCGCCAAACAATGACATTATCATCGAACACAGATTTAACATCATAAAGACGGGATTGCCTATTACGCTGAAGGCAATCTTGGGTCGCTTACTCGTAGCCTCCTCCTATCGATCAAAAATGTAAAGAAATAGTACATTTTTAAGTTTTTCGTTTAAATCAGTAGGTTTTTTGCGACTTTTCAATTTTTGCCAAAGTTTTTAAATTTGCAAAGTACAAAATTGTGGCTCTGTCTTGAAATAATTTACTTAAAGTTAAAAATCATTTCTTATAAAAGCAGCTGTATAGTTAAAGTCTAAATGCAAAAGTGCAAAACTTAATAATCGATTTTGAAAAAAAAATAAATAAAAATGTCGTCAATCGATAATAATGAATTAATGAGCAAAGTGTCATTAGCTTTTTTTTATATTAAGGAAAAAAGTATGCAAGCAAAAGCATTTAACTCAACGGATTTTTTATCACTCTTAAGTTAAATAAAACGTTAAGGAATCCAGAACCCTCATACTTTTTCTAAAATAAAAGTATCATAAATTATTCCATAAAACATCAATCAAGCTGTTTCGGAGATTAGCTGGAACAAATAGACTGTCAGACAACAGACAAAAATTAAAAAAAAATATGTTTGTTTTATAAGTACCTACCCTATATAATTTCAGATATACCTACATTTAGTAAAAAGCTGTTATTTTGACATTACAAACAGACACTTCAATATTATTTATCTGTTTAAATGGAACGGGAATAATAGCATAGAATTAAGTCCATTATATAATAATTTTACTTATATTACAGAGTATGTAAGCACATAATAATTTATTTTATTTCATTTTTTTCAGATTCACATCATACAGAAGTGTAGTGACAGTGTTAAAGGAAGTGTAGTGATTGATTATATATTTATAATGTATTAGTGCAGAATGACGCAGTTGTGGCGCTGCGGTTGTGGTGACTGATTTTCAAACAAACATGGGAGATTCGAGTCCAGCCACGTCCATTATCGAGGGCACTGTCAAATTTCGCGACGGGAAAAAGGTAATTTAAACTATTAATTAGTGTGTACAAACTATACTACTGAAATTCACTCTTAATTAACTTGATTAGCACTAATACTTTATAGTTATACTATCCTTTTTGACGACGCATTTGGCTCAGTTTGTAGTGATCATACTTGCTGTGCCAGCGGTCGTGAATTCGAGTTCCGCTGGGGGCATTCATTTGTGTGATGAGCAATAAATGTTTATACTCCAGCCATGGGTGTTTATATTTATATATGTATGTATTTAAAAGTTATATACGTGTAGTGTATCAACTATCTGGTATCCATAACACAAGCCTCGTAGCTTACCATGGATCTAGATGGTTCTGCGTGTTGATGTTCCAACATATTTATTTATTTACCCTTTATGTGACCGATCCATGGTGTATATTTTTGCTGACTTTTAATCAAGTTGCAAACAGGTAAATGTAATGACGCAGTATATAAGTATATTAAACTATAGTTTATAATAAGAGTACATACATATTGTGTATATTCAAAGAAAACGTACACGAATACGCTGTTTAATTCTATTATAATGAACTACAGATTTCCTATAGTATTAACATATACTGCATAGTTTATCTATACTTAATTACATCAAAATCTTTCCAGCCCTTTCATAAACACAGAAACTTTCGCATTTTTAATAGTAGTCTCCATCCATCAAAAAAGTACTAGATACACAATCCCATGCAAAAATTCTCTAAAAACTGTCACCAATTGTGTTTAGGTCATTATTCTAGTTGAAATAAATATACAATAATGTAAATTGAACCTTAAATGCAATGCTTAAAGTAAAACAAAATAGTTAAAAGCGCGCGCAAATGTTCAAATGAGCGCTCTTTCGGTGAGGACATTTTTTGTCGCTGATTGTGTATCTAGTATTTTTTTTGATCGATGGTAGACCCATTTATGTGGGTAGTAGCAGTAATTTCAATTATTCCAAGTTTTATGTCAGTCGCAAGCAAAACCGCGTTACAAAACTATTTCTACACAAGTATCTTAAATCCTTGAATAAGATATTATATTTCATAACTACAATTGTACTGAGTAATAAACGCAATTGTACCTATACGTTGGTTAATAACTGATTTTATCTGACTCTCGTACATCTTGATAGAACAATATAGTGCAAACGAGTGTGGTAGTAAAAAGATATTTTTTTAAATTGCTATTTTTATCTTTTTTGAACATTCAGACAAAATATGTTTTGGGCGGAATGTAAATTAAAGAACTAAATAATGGTTTTTAAAACTCATCTAATTAATGCCGTATCGTTTGCCTTTCTTAAGACAAGATTTAGTTAATAACTACAGAATATTCTGTTTTGACATAAATAAGATTTTACTTTTTATCTATATAGGTGTCTTTTCTGAAGTTTTTTTTTCACTAACTAGGTTTAACTTATTATTATTATTAGAGCTTTTTTCTAACTGCTCTCATGCTGACAATGTCGTATATATTATCACCTCGTAAATGTTAGTCGGTGCATTGTCGCCAAGGGATGATACCTACTGGACGAGCGCTTACTCTCACCTTCGCTTCGCTCGGGTTCTTAACTAGGTGATTTTTTAATTGAATTAAATTGAATTGACAGAACTTTTTTATTTACGAACCGATTGAAATAAAACAAATACTAAATGTTAAGTGAAGCTTACAACAATACATTAGTGAAAACCGCACCCAAATCGGATAAGCCGTTTCTGAGATTAACACGCACAAACGCACAGACAAACAGGCAAAAGTTCTAAAAATCATTGTTTTGGGTTCTATTGCTTAATAATATTTTTTCTCTAATATTTTCCGGTGATCAGTTACAATTTTATTATAATATTATAGATTATTATATTGTTTGTATATGTCCTCTGTATCATACCCCTTTTACATAGGTACACTTTGAAGCACTGATAGGCATATTTTTAAATATACTAACTGATTCAACCTTTAACGTACTATACCTAGGGTCTAAATTGAAATGCAGATTTTTTAGATAGCATATGGTATTTGCCTATCGATTGATATAGTATCGATATTCAGAAATGTGTCAGATAAGAAAGATACGCTTTAATAACGACCATGTGATTAATTTTTATTGGAATTCTCCCGAAAACTCAGTCCAAAGGTTTATGCTACCTTAAAATTCGTAAAGTAATAATTTGTTATTTAATGCTACGTTTTATTCCAGTTGTAGTATATATTTTGAATGTCTCGTCGGTTTAGTGGCTAGCATGTACGGCTTCAAAACGTGAAGTTTTAGGTTCGAGTTTCGGTACATCAACAATAGTTCTATGTGTTCCTGTCACAAAATTATTTACTAATATGAAAAATATTAGGACTTCGTATTTTTATTAAAAAATCTTGGTCACTCTAGTAGTGACGTGCATGACTACTGAATAGTTCATTCCACTTACACCTACTTGACTCGAGTATTTTAATATGATAATCAAAAGGCTTATTTTACGATATATTTACTGTAATATGTACAAGAAATTTGAAAAAAAATATAGATTTTTTTCAAAACACTTGTTGGGTATAGGTACGCTTTAAAACAAATATACATACTTAATTATTTTTTCTATAAACATTTTGTTACGCGTCGCCCAATCTCATTGTTTTACTAATATGTAGTTGCAAAATTTACGTCATACAGAGTACACATTTTTTTCATTTAACTATCTAAGATAAGGCAGTTTCAAAGCAACCTTAATCCCTTAACGACCGCGGATACGCCGGCGTTACAGTTAACAATAGCTTTCTTAGAAATTTAATTAGTTTCTTAGAAATTTACTTGGAGGTGTTAACATATTAGACAATGATTTTATTATTTTTTTAGTAGTTATTAAACAAAAACTTGAACGTTGATTTTATTATTCTAATTGTAAGTCAAATAATTTTAAAATTTTACAAGCGTTTAAAATTCGGAACACTTAATATAATAATTTGATACTATCGCCTTAATTTTATGATGGAGTCCGAAAGCATAACAATGGAACCCTTCAACGGTTACTAGTAAAATCATCTCTGATTCATTTCAACGAATGTGAGACAAGACGTTTCCAATTACAAATTGTCAAAAGCGTGTTGGTTAAGCCTTTAAAATTTTAATTAAATTTTTACACTCACTAAAGTTGGCTTAGCGACCCAAAGTGGATTTTGGATAGATTACGCCATTCTTTTTTATCCTAAGCAGCTTTTCGCCAATAAAAATCGGTCGGCGAAGCTGGCGCAGGTATTTTTAAACTACTAAAAAAAAGTAAACATAATAATTTAATAAACGGCACGTTTGGCTCAGTTTGTAGTGACCCTACTTGCTGTGCCAGCGGTCGCACGAATGTTCGTACTCCAGTCATGGGCGTTTAAATATGTATGTATGTAAAGTTATATATGTGTAGTGTATCAACTATCTGGTATCCATAGCACAAGCCTCGTAGCTTACCATGGAACTAGATGGTGCTGTGTGTTAATGTCTCAACTAATTTATTTATTTTAAACTATATTATACATTTATCGTACCGTTGGAACTAAGCAAAAAGATGGTAGATGGCTAGTCGTCGATATAAAATTATATTGTTTTATTTAATACTATGCGTGTTTTGATAATCAATTCCGGACAAGTCATACTATGTGAATGATGATATCTTTGCTAATGTATGATTCATTCACTTCCGGTACATTATTAATACATACGGTCAACCTAAAATATTCTACTATTTTACTAGTAATTTCGCTTAAACATTTATTATAAAACGGTTAAATTGTAATTATATAATTATAAGAAAATTATTTTGACTCTCGCTATTAACAAGTGTCTTACATCAAAATAGGTTTAATAATATACTTCATTTATAATCCTACCAAGATTTATAATTAGTTTAAAAAAATAGTAGGTAAATGTAATGAAATGGATCTGCCCAAATAGATCAAATGAGCCTAAATTCGGAAACGAATTCAAAACGTCGGGAACCAAACACCAAAAGAAAACCTGTCAAAAAATCTGAAAAGATAATTTAATTTGAAATGTCGATAATCATGTACATACATATTAGTCTCAATATGTTACTGAGTAGAATCTGTACGTTAAATATTTTTTGGAATATCTTATTGAAATAGTTATTAATATCGATAGAAAGGTTGGATCTATAGTTTTCAAAATTTTTGTCTGTCTGGGAACGTTTCACGAAAAAACCACTAGACAGATTTTGATGAAATTTGTTATGATGATAGCTGATTATCCGGGTCAACATATAGGATAAGTACTTTTTACTGAGGGAAAATATATCATCTCTGAGAAATCTATGCTAAACCTTAAAACGTAAAAAAAGAAAATAAGAACGACTTTCAAGATTCAGATTTTCAATCAAATCGTAAATTGAAACTTATAAAAGATCATATTAACTCATTACGGTTCTACTTTGTGTCACATACTAGTGATAGATTGTTACAAAAATAATTACTCAACAATGCCGTGAATAAGTTTCTTAGAAATAACTACTGTTTAAGCGGCGCCTTTGTTTTTTAATTCCTCGTACGTAAAAGGCTTGCTGCTTCAAATTCTTTGAAATTAGCTAGTCTATACACTGTCATCAATATTACTAACATCGGACTACTAATATGAAAGCGAAAGTTTGTATGTATATGTGTTTGTTACTCATTTAAGCAGAAATAGCTGAATGTCAAATGTCATTCTCTTTCTATAGAGGTTCGTCCCTATGTTGATTCCCCATACAAACTTTCATTGCCATTTTTACCCCCTTAAGGCATGATTTGTGGGATAAAAACTCATTTATATCCTTCCCAGGGTCGCAAACTATCTTATCAAATTTCATCTAAATCGGTTCAGTAGTTCCAGAGATTACTTCCTACAAACAATCTCACAAACTTACAAACTTTACCTCTATTATAATATTAGTACGTAAGATAAAATAAACTACTAAACTGAAGGCCAAAAACACATTTTCGCATTTATAATATTAGTAAGGATATAGGCAATAAG